TTACACTTGTGTATATATATATACATTTCCTCCTTTTTCTTTTTCACTTATAGATGTTCATTCCCCCTGGCTGTATTCTTGTATTTTGTATCACGTTAAAAGTTTCAATAAATGTAAAAAAAATTAGTTTTAATTATCCGTATAAAACTAACCYGTTGAACTAAACCTGGTGAAACAATCTGGAGCCTTGTTCTTTCAGCTCCAGTGTGTCTGTGTGACCAACTGTGCTGACCTATGATCAACCAAGTTTTAAGCCCCGCCCCCTCCATGTAAAAAAMCAGGAAATAACGTAAAAAAATGTAGATATTTGTTGTTGTTTGTTGTTGTTCTAACAGTTTTAAATCTTCTCCTCCTCCAGTCGTTGCTGCGACAAGAAGAGCTGCGGGAACCGTAACGAGACGCCCTCCGACCCCGTCATCATCGACAGGTAGGACCTCACCTGGCCTGAGTTTACCTGGTGTGGGATGAAGCCCGGCTCAGGTTTCTGTTTGGGTCTTTGTGGTTCAGGTTGGTTGTCTCATGGAGGGTCTTCCTGCTCAGGTGGGATGAAACGTTGACTCAATCAGCTGTTTGCAGATTTAAATTAAGGATGAGGTTAAACAACATTGTGGACTGCACGTGTGCCTGAACGCACCACGATGTTGTTTAACCTCATGGTGGTGCGTTCAGGCACACGTGCAGTTACTGTCAGGCTCTTGGAGGACGTTGAGGACGTTGGTTCCTGAACGCAGCGCAGTGTGTGTGTGTGTGTGTGTGTGTGTGTGTGTGCGTGTGTGTGTGTGTAGCTGTGAGCAGTGACTACCTGGGAGAGAAGGAGTGTTTGAGCTGTGGAGAATAATTAAAACGTGAATATTGGTTTGTCTGACAAACCTTGAGCTGTGCTTCCATCCAGCTGTTGTCTCTGCACAGCTGGCGTCTCTCTGCCTCTCTTTGTTTCTTCCTGCCTTTTCTGTTTGCTGGCGTCTCACTTCTTTCTCACCTCTCGCTTCCGACACGCGGCTCGTCTGTGCGAACGGTTTAATCAACACCAACGAGCACGACAACATTTCCATTCTGCAGCCGCTGATCAGATCTGCTTCAAACTTCTGCTGCCAACTAACTTTGTGTCTGCGAGGAGAAGGTCCACATTCATCTGAGGGGCTTTATTTCTGCTCCCTTAAAACAAAAACAGCACCTTTCAGGATACTTTAAGACCTTTATTTGGCCTTTTGATCTCAGATAGTTTTGTTTGATCTAATCCACAGCAGTACTTTATCACTGTTTGTCTGTAGTGTTAGCAAAATATCTAATTAATCATSTTAGTCAGTTATTATAAGGCAGTATATCTGCAGCTTTTAAAACTCAAAACAGTTCAAGATGGCCGCCACAACTGTCAGACACAAAACTGTGAGTCTGTTTCCAGATACTGAAGTACCTGCTGTGGTACTCTGAGCACTCTGCAGTACTTTGACTTTACTGTGGTTGTACTGTTGGTTCCAGGAGTTCTAGACTGTCCAAATTCAGACACTTTATTCTGGTCTTTGCAGTTGACCAAGGACCGGGCCCACCTAGACCGTGTAGGCCAGGTCCTTCGAAGGACCCAGACCCTGAATTTGGRCCCGACTAAAGATTGTTTATTAATGTTGATGATGAAATAAATAAGAGTTTGTTGATGAAGTGTTTCAGTTAAAGTTTGATTCTGTTGGTCTGAAACAAGAACCTCCAGTTCCAGTTGGACCAGATGTTTGTTGTATGACTGTTTGCAGAAACCTTCTGTTTGTTTGTTTGTTTGTTGTATGAATGTTTGCAGAAACCCTCAGTTTGTTTGTTTGTTTGTTGTATGACTGTTTGCAGAAACCTTCTGTTTGTTTGTTTGTTTGTTGTATGAATGTTTGCAGAAACCCTCAGTTTGTTTGTTTGTTTGTTGTATGAATGTTTGCAGAAACATTTTGTTTGTTTGTTTGTTTGTTTTATGAATGTTTGCAGAAACCTTCTGTTTGTTTGTTTGTTTGTTGTATGAATGTTTGCAGAAACCTTCTGTTTGTTTGTTTGTTTGTTGTATGAATGTTTGCAGAAACCCTCAGTTTGTTTGTTTGTTTGTTGTATGAATGTTTGCAGAAACCTTCTGTTTGTTTGTTTGTTTGTTTGTTTGTTTGTTTGTTTGTTTGTTTTATGAATGTGTGCAGAAACCTTCTGTTTGTTTGTTTGTTTGTTTGTTGTATGAATGTTTGCAGAAACCTTCTGTTTGTTTGTTGTATGAATGTTTGCAGAAACCTTTTGTTTGTTTGTTTGTTTGTTTTATGAATGTTTGCAGAAACCTTCTGTTTGTTTGTTTGTTTGTTTGTTTGTTTGTTTGTTTTATGAATGTGTGCAGAAACCTTCTGTTTGTTTGTTTGTTTGTTGTATGAATGTTTGCAGAAACCTTCTGTTTGTTTGTTGTATAAATGTTTGCAGAAACCTTTTGTTTGTTTGTTTGTTTGTTTTATGAATGTTTGCAGAAACCTTCTGTTTGTTTGTTTGTTTGTTTGTTTGTTTTATGAATGTGTGCAGAAACCTTCTGTTTGTT